ATGAAAAAAGAAACACATATACTGAATATAGTGATGAACCCAAAACACCCAAAGATGAAAAAAGAAACACATATACTTCCGAGCAAGGTGAAATAACTTTGCCTATAGAAAGAGAATATGATGATGATGCTTCATCAGCTGATTCATTTGCTTCAGCAAAAGAAACAAATATTGATTCTAAAAGAGAATCTTCGGCATCCAAGAGGGATTCCAAGAGAGGATCTGATATATCCAAAAGAGACTCAAAAAGAGGATCTGATATATATAAAAGTGATTTCAAACGTGTTTCGAGACACGATGTTTCTGGATTAATTCCTGGAGAGCCCATTGTACCTGTCAAGACATTTAAGGATGCTGAAGTACAAACAGAAGTTGAAATTGAACGAAATTATTCTATTTCCAGCAAATTTACGTTTGGAAATAGGGAAAATAGAGAGACAATGGTTTTCGAAAATATCATACATAATCCGAATGAAGACAATAATTCCACACACCAGTCAGCTCTGTATATACCTGACGACAACAATATTGATAAAAGATTTACACTTGACTTGAGTTCATCATTTAATAACACGAGAGATAATATTTTAAATAAATCTTCTACTGATGTCAATAAAAATGCTGAAGTTATTGGTTCTCGAATTAACTCAAATGATCGACCACACAGTGCCTTGCAAAATTCATATAAGCATCATGTTAATAGTTTAGATCCTCCTCCACGCCCTATATCTGGACCACCACAAACACCAATAACACATACACAATATATGGATTTCGGTCAACAGGCTGGATCGCCAAAAGTTCCCCACCCTCTTAATAATACTCAGGGACGCAGAGGCTCGACAGATTCGGGTGATCATCCCAGAGGTGCTAACGATAACAGAACAAGAGATATAAACTCTCGTGAATCTCGTCATCGTCATACACCTAGTTCAGGTTCATCTTCAACCGTAAGCAGTAATTCATCTTCAATTGATCCGGCTAGTCACCAATCAGATTCATCATATGTAGAGCCCAGTGGACCGATACCCGGACGATCTGGAACAGATCCAACTATTATTCAAGCAATAACTCAAACAATGATTGGTGAATACTTGTGGAAATATACGCGACGTAATTTTGGATCTGGTATTTCAGAAAAACGGCATAAACGTTTCTTTTGGGTTCATCCTTACACCAAAACTTTGTATTGGAGTAACAGAGACCCTGGTACTTATGAGCCTATTGATCCAAAGTCAAAGAGCGGAATGTCTTATTTTGGTATGTACAATATACAATGATCTGATTTACTATCGTATAAGTCTGTTTATTAATTATGAACAATGTCCTTATTTCATATGATAGCATATATTGAATCTGTTAGGCAAGTTGTTGACAATAATCCGTCACCCCCCGGATTGCATCACATGAGTCTGGTCATTAAAACTCCAGAAAGAGAATTAAAGTTTACAGCGCCATCCAAGGATCGACACGAATATTGGTTTGAGGTTAGTTCGATTTGTGTAATTTAATTTTATTATGAAATATTATTACGGCTTTGTTATATTTTCAGTTTTGTGATAATGATATTAATATTATTTTTATATTTTTATTCTAGGCTTTAACTTATCTACTTTTGCGACCCGACGAGACGGGCCAGATTCCTGGACGACCTGGAAAGATAGCATCAGATCCCTGGGAAACTCAACAGATACAAAATACATCACCAAATGGTTCATTAAGGAGCAATAATATCAAGAAAAAGTCAAGCTTCAGCAAACTTCAATCAATGTTTCGACGTCAAGATACTTTGTCTCCTTCTTCACCTCTTTCATCCGAGTTTACTGATGGGCAACTTGTGGTACAGGGACATTCACATAATGATTTGGATAACAATGAAGTTGAAAATGTGCGGCAATGTTGTGATGGTCAACATGATATTAGCAGACTTGAACGAGCCCATAATAACAGAGGGCATCATTACAATAATACACATTTTTGAAATTATTGAAACAACTGAAGTGAATTAATTTATTTTTTATATTCGTGACATTATTATTATTTATTTTCTACATACAGGGAGTTTGAAATTTTAGGAAATGTTATTAACATATTTCTTCTTTAGAGGGTGGAGATTCTATATATTGTTATTTGTTATCTTTACCATAGTTTGTATGCTGTACAGTATTATAAGATATTACAAAAAAATAGATACTCATTTCATTTACTTTATTATATATACACAATAGCAAATATAATTTATGATTTGAATACTAACAGTAAAAAATATCGAACAATTGTGTAATATATAATTGGTAATGCATTAGATGAATATTGAAAATTTATTTTTTTGTATTTTTTTTTTAAACAATTCAATAGTATATTTTGTAAACAGTATAATAAGCATTTAAAACAGCAAATTGTGTAATTTGTCGTTTGTATAATTATCTCTTATGGAACTGTCTTCTCAGGCATAACAATCAGTATTGATAGGCAATTGTTTTCAAAGTCAATTGGGCATGTCCAAAATAAATTGGACATCAATATTTCACAACACTAATAATAATAAGTTAACTTTAGAAATTTTAGACAAATAATTTTTATTATATACCTTTAAAATATTAATAATTTAGCATAGTCTATACATATCGTAGAAATTAATTAGACCTGAATTTGCATTGCCTAAAATCAAAATTAATGGCGTAAGTGCCGAAAGTAAATAAAAATATACCGACATGTGTACGGCTGTACCCTGCGGAGGCTATAGTAAAGCATCCGGTGTACATGTTATTTGAAAAATCTGCCGATGATTATCATCGACCAATTTAGAAAAT